AATTGAGTGGTATGTATGTACATAAATACTTCAAAACATAAATGTAAGGTTTAGGGGTTAGATATCTATATACACCAAAAGTTTTTATTTTAAATTAAAATATACAAATTTATGCGTTATATATGTATATACAACTAAATTGGGTGGTATGTTTGTAAATGCCCTTTATATTTTTGGTTTAGACACTACCATGCAAGTTTATGTATTAGATATATAAATACATAGGACTTCAATGGTATATATGTAATTTCCCCGTAAACTAAATTTGTAAGTTTCAATATTATATTTTTAAATACAAAGAAATGGGGTTATATTTGTGTAAATGCCCCATATGTTATCGGTTTAGAAGTAGCTACACAAGTTTAGGAGATATGTATATATATATATGTAAATACATATGAATTGGTTATTATGCATGTAGATATTTTAATTTTGAATTTTGATTTCTAACTTTTAGATAACTCAGGTTCCTATGTCTTAACCACACTAATGCAAGCATGTCAAATAAGGTGTCATCTGAAAAACAAACAATTGTTTGTACCATAAATTCCCATGTCATATACTATCTAATTATGTAGTTATAAAACATTCTGACTATACTTATGGTGTGCATATGAGACTTCTCATATGCGCATACAACACATTTTTAATGATCATATTTTACGTTATAACTCCTATTTTTTTAATTTTATTTTTAAATCTATAGGGTGTCAATGGATATTGTGAATTTAACATCATGAATTTATAATAAATTGCAGCAAGAAGAAAATGACTAACTGACAAGTTATTGAAATGTGTTGAATATCCATACAAGCAACATCATAATTTTCTCCTTATCTTTTCGAGAGTGTGCCCATATGAGAAGTACAACAATCTTGTATTTTTAATACCAAACATAGTATGGTTGGATTTATACCGTAGGAGATTTCAACCAAATGATTGGTACTTAACTTCACATAGTGGGTAGGAACCACATATTGATTATCAGGTTGGTGCTTTAACAAGCTCTACCCCTCCAACGGAGCTCGATTCTACTATATTATAAAAAATTATCTATGATATAACAAGAGTTTAGTTTGTTGAGCAAGTGATTGAGGATGAGCTCCAAATAGAGAAGCTAAAAAATTATATGAATTATTAAATGCATGATAATGTCAATTGTGAAAAGGTTGCATCACTCATTTTGAGTTAATCAGTGTCTCTAGAAAAGTTGAGCATTGCATTGGACTAGAATATGCTCCAAACATATTTTAAATATGTTACATGATTGATGAAGGAGATAAATTTGATGGAAAATATAGTAATAGAGGAGCTACGCAGAATGAAAAAATTGGTGCAAAAATTAGGGTCAACTTTAGGGATAGAATTTTGTGTTAAGTATTTTATGTAATACTAGATAGCTGATGTAATGGAGACTCAATGCATGTTTTATGATGCTCAAAGATTCAATCTATACAACAAGAAAAATAAGAAATAGTAGAATAATCCATACAAATTTCTTTTCTACTTTGAACTCATTTCACATCTTCAAAGACTGTTTTCCTCTGTATGAATTACTGAACTTATGGAGATGTGATCGTGAGAGATAAAGCAAATTTAGTTTTTTGAGTCATCTAATAGATAGAGACAAATGTACACATTTGGATCAAACTTATCCTCATTTTGCAAGTGAATCACCCAATGTTAGATTTGATTTTTGTGATGATAGTTTCACAGCATATAGTCAGGTTACCTCGCCATAATCTTATTGGCTAGTGATAATTAAATTGTATAACTCACTATATGTGATGTTCATAATTACTCCTTTTATGTTTTTAACACTAATCAAACCTAGTATACATAGCCTAAAGGGAAAAGAAATAATGTGTATATGTAGCCTTTTATAAAAGAGCTTCAAATCTTTTGAGAAATAAATTTGTTCACTTATTGTGTTTTTATAAACAAAAATGTTGAAATAAAAGCTATCCTGATTTGGATAAAAAGCAACTACCTTGCATATTATATGTTATTAGAATAAAACACTGGGGAATGTTTGCTTGCTCTTACTGCATGGATCTATTAAAAGCATTTATTATAAAATATGATTGGAAAAATTTATTGTTCAACTATCACCGAATGTTTTTATCTGTTGATCACTCATTCAAAATGAATAAATATGTCTTTCTAAGAAATAGAGTTGAGAAATTATGACCTCCATTAAGGATAATTATGGATGGCTTTTGAAAGATTATTAGTGTAATTTTAAAGATTACTGTTTTTATAGAGCAATCATCACATCGTTTCTCTCATTCTGGTGTTACTCATAACTAGACAAAGTGGAGTAACAACCACTACTCCAAAGTATCATGTATATAAGAATTTTATAAAAATAGTTTAAGAGAATGCCATCCTTGCATATAACACCATTAGGGTTACATAATCTAAAATGCATTAAGGGTAATTTGATTCAAAACTACAAAGGGTTATTTAGTATTAAATGAGCTCGATATTGAATCAAAGGTCCTCAATATAAAAGACAGGGTTTCTATTTCTTAAGAGATCGTGACTAACAGATTAATTCAAAAGCCTTAAGGGGCACCTAATATTGAATAGAGTTTTCAATATAAATTCCTTTAACCTACTTCATAATAAATGAAGTCCAAGATGAAAAATAGTATGTAAAATGTGCCTCGACTTAGCTAAGATATGATAGAGGGCATGTTCATTTAGAATCCTTGGGAGAGCACCTAACATTTTATATGTTTTTACTAATACTTCTCTATCTAATGAGCTCATTCTTAAAGTACGGTTAAATTTCATCTTCCCAAATTTGGACTAAATAAACTAGACTGGCAAAGATGCTAATAACACATTTTTGGGAGACTTTATCAATTTTATAGAAAAATCGCAAGTTAAGATCTTCCATCTTCTATGTGAATCACACAAATTAATACTATCACATCAAAATATAACTAAATTACATCCTCCTCTACTACAAATTTAACCGCTCACTTAAAGAAAGCTAATAGGAGAGCTTATACGACAAATCCAAGACTTTTCCATCACCAGTGTTGATCAAACATCCTCAGTTAGTTTCATCATAAAGGAACATCAATATATAAAGATAGGAAATAAATATATCTTTATTCAAAAGTCTCAAAGATGACGTATCATCATGTGAACCACATAATATAATGAATATCGACAAATCTCTCTTTATCGAAAGGTCTTCAAGATAACATATCATCACATGGGCCTTAGGCATGACTACAATAAGAACCATGAAGATGGCATGCAAATTAAAAAGTTTTTTAGAGCACTTAATAGTGAACATAGTCCTCACTAAAAGTCATCAAGAGGGCCCTTAATATATAAGCCCCATGAGGGCAAATGTATACATAGTTTTCAATTTTTATACATTGATTCAAAAACTTTGAAGGGTGACTACTATTAGACTAAGCTTTCATTAGAGATCCTCTTCAATGATTTATTATTATATGACTAAGCAAATATTTAATGCATAGGAGAAATAATGACTAATTAATTCTATCAATCAAACGATCAAAGAATCTTTTTTATGCTCCAAAGTTCATACCATTTATTGCTTTATGTAATAGTGTGATTTAGTTTTAATAAAACTAAATGAGTTAACAAACTAGTCCCAACTCAATAAATTGGATCACATTTAAAACAATATTAAGATAAATTACACTTCTAAAGGTTTGATTCAAGATTTAAACTTAATTATTATTTTTTAGTTATGAATTAGACCTTGTTGTGAAAGTTTAAAGGTTCATTTGGGTAGTGGTTATGCTTTTAAGAAAAAAAAAGTATAGTATGATAAATTTTACTTAATTAGATATATCTACCTAAGTTTGGTAGCTGTCTAAAAAGTTGTTATCCAAATTAAATTTCTTAAATGAAATGTATATATTATTACAATATTAATGAAAAAACTATAATTTCCCAACATGAAATACTTATATGAAAATTGTTGTCTAACTTTTTTTTAAAGAATAATAAAAAATATGATAGTTAAGATAATTTACTTTCTATTAATAATTCTACAATAAAATTTGTAAGTTACAATCAATACAAATTGTCAGGAGGTTCAATTTTGTTTATGAAAGCTGTGATTTTAGTAACTTCTAATGAACAATTTCACTTTTAAATTTAATTAATTTTTTGATGAAATAATTGAAAATTAAATCTTTATAACTATAATTAATTTATTATAAATATTATTATTTGAATAAACTTTTATCAAGGATAGTTTTGCATCTACTTTTTAATTAGTCCAAATAATAATTGAATACAAGGGCCAAAAAAATGTCTTGATGAAAGGGAGGGGTTTCCGGGTTGTGCGGACTCCGGCCGTAGCTCTACGTGCGGCGGAAGTTATTCCTGAGTTATTTTCAGAGCCCCGTTCATGAAGCAAGTCCCCATTCCAAATTTTTTATCATTTATTTATATACTTGGGTGTGTTATTTCTGCCCAATTTTTCTGTGCGGACTCCGGCCGTAGTTCTACGTGCGGCGGAAGTTATTCCTGAGTTATTTTCCCAAAAATAACCTGGTTATTTTTGGGTTATTTTCTCATGAATAACTTCCGCCGCACGTAGAACTACGTCAGGAGTCCGGATAGAAAATACGCTCGTTATTTCTTTCGTGCAAGCTTTGATAATAATTGATTAAAAAGTACATAAAAATAGGATGCTTCAATACCCAGATGACACTAGTACATAACACTAAGATTTTGACCCTTAGAGCTCTGCACTTAAAATTCATCATTTGAAACTTAGCCCATGAATTTCGACCCTTGCATGTTGCAACTCAACATGCTAACTCGGTGGGTCAACTCACATACCCCTTCAGAGATACACATACCATACACATCAAATTTTCCTAAGAAAATTATTAGCTGCAAATTGCAAATGTAAAATATGTAAAAAATTGAAAGCATGCAATCACTCAAAAATCCTATTCCATTTAAAAACTGCTAAAAATAAGTCTAAACTCAAACAAAGGTACTGAACCCGCCGCAGCTAGTCTACTGCAGAAACCGATCAACGCTGAAAAAGAAAGTGGATCCCATCCTCCAATAACGCATATCTTTGCGTCTCGATGCTCCCTTGCTTCCCATATCCTAACCTCTGATTCGGATCATCCCTTTTCCCCCTTTTGCCACTAGAGCGCGCGCGCGAAGAAAGCTCAACAGTAAATAATGAAAAGAAGAAGAAAAAGAGTATTAGATGGGGACCAGATCCACTGCTCTGTTACCCTGTGACTCCTGCCAAATTACTCAAAGAACCCCTCACCAGCGGAGCAGAAGAGAAGAAGCCAGCGCAGCGACAGCAGCTTATAGCTAAAACAGCTACAACGAATATATATATAGACGAAGAAACTGCAGAGTGGAGGGAAGAGGAAAGAAGCGGGGGAGAGGAAATAATGATAGAGGAAGAGAACGGAGCAGACGCAAGGCTTCAGGCCATCTCTGCTGCTATTCGGGTGGTTCCCCACTTTCCAAAGCCAGGTGCTTTCTCCCAACTTTTTTTAATCTCCGTATACTTATTCTGTTAGCCGGAAAGATTTGATTTTTGTGGGTTTAGGGATTATGTTCAATGACATCACGCCGCTGCTGCTTCGGCCCAAGGTTTTTAAGGACGCGGTGGAGTTCTTTGTTGATCGGTATAGTAGCATGGGGATCTCTGCTGTTGCAGGTAATGTGATTTCTGTGACTGAAAGTCGAGCACTTTGTTGCTGTTGTTGTTGTTGTTTTTGTTCTGCTTGTTTTAAGGGGATTTATTGGGACGATGTAGGATCATAATCTCTTAAAGTTTTTTATTGTTGTTTTGGTTTCAGAAATAAAGGTTTTCAATGCACTGTTTGTTTGGTGAAGGCTTTCTGTTTTTCATTTTATCTGTTGAGTTTGGATATGGTGATCGCTGTTGATTTGATTTATTGCAAATTAAATGATTTTAAGTTGAAACATGATGGTGAATGGCCTAACATTAGTGTGGGTGATTGAATTTTTTATATTAATTAATTTGAGAAGATTAGCTAATGAAAAAGCTGAGTTTAAATAGTTTGAAAATAGAAGATTTAATGTGTATAAATTTTTGACGATTAAATATATTTAATCATCTGTTTGAGTAGTGAATTGTAATTTTGTCACCAATAATATGGCAAAAGTTAAGATTTTTATGGTTGTTTGGGTAACATGCTTATGGGTTGGATGGAAATCTGGAAGGTAGAGTGCTGTAGTGCAGAAGTTTCTTTAGTTTTTTGTTAGGAGTCTATTTTGCGTCTGTCCTTATCTGTATTTTAATCAAGGGGCATTTGCATACATACCATCCAAATCTTTCATATCACAACAAAAATAGCACTATTTTAATTTTTAAAAAGTGAAATACACCTTTTCATGCAGAGTTAAGGCGGCATTTATGTAAAAAAATTGAATTTTTTGGTGTTTTATATGTAAATCTATAGGAGTTAAGTGGGCATTTACATTGAAGAAAAGTCAACTTTTGTATTTAGTAAGTTTCATAGAACTTTTTGATAATTTACAAGCCACACTAATATGATTGCTTTATGAACAGTCAAATTATTTAAAGAAAATTATTCCAAATGATTTAAAGACTAATCATAATGAATTATGTCTCTTTAGATTCAACTAGCCAGATGGATTTTTAAATTTCAGAATTTTCTTGAAGGCATGCAGCATGAATAATTTCTTTAATGCGTGGATGAAAATTTAAAATGCTACCTATAAAGATGAAAAGAGAATCCATAAATTGGTTCATGTATTACAATTCTTCTATTTCCACTATGAAGCCTCAACCCCAACATATCAGAGGAAGACTATTGCTTTTTAAGGGTCTAAGGTGTTTACTTTGATAATTTGTGTCTGATCGCCAAATTCCTCGATTTGGAGCTAAGCCGCAGAATTTTAGAGCTAGAGTTTTGTTTCTCTCTCATTGATCTCAAATCCACTTCACTTGAAATGCATGTTGGGATATTGAGGCCATGTTTATAATGTTTGTGTATTTATGTCCCTATTTTAAGATCCAAATATATGAATTTACTTTACCTTTTTTATTATACCATAATGAATCTTATTCAAGAAAATTCTGTCTTTAGATATTCACTTGTAACCTGCAAAATATCCATAATTTTTTTTTTTCATTCCATCAGGTATTGAAGCTAGAGGGTTCATCTTTGGCTCTTCACTAGCCCTAGCCATCGGTGCGAAGTTTATACCATTGCAGAAGCCAAAGAAGTTGCCTGGTAACATTGAATTTTGCCTTAATTGACTATTCACATGTTCCGAATGTTAGCTGGTTGAGTAATTTTATTTTTGTTACTTTATTTGTATTATGTATTTTATGATTAAAATTTTCCTCCTACATTATTTAGCCTCAAATTATGTAAATAAATTTATGTTGCCACACAGCAATGAAGGAAAATTCTGTTTCACACTTTATTGCATGAGAGTTTTGCTATTTTTCTCAGAAGAAATTTGAATAATGTCTACCAGCATAATTTTGTGAAACAGAATAAAGATTGAGATTTTTAAAGGGATTGATTGTTCAAAGGTATTTGGAATGTTAAAGTAAAAAAATAGAAAAAAAAAAACCTGGTGTTAGATCCATTAGTAAGCCAACGCAGTAAAGTTAGCATGACCATCAAATTAAACTAATCGTATCACTTTACGAATAGGATAAGAATGTTAGACTCATTATTGGGCTCGTTTCTTTTCCCCAAGATTGTACGTTCCTCATATGGGAATTATGATGAATATAAACCCCAACTCGATTAATTTAGTTCAGCCAAAGCCATTACAACCATCAAATCAAATCAACCAGGCCACCTTACCTATTGAATAAGGCTATAAGATTGTTTAGTTTCCTTTACTCTTACTTTATGGACATTCCATTAGATGTAAGTCTCAACCCAATCCCAACCCAATCAATTTGATTTGTCATAAAGCCAACAAACTTGCCATATTAAACATTTTATATATGGGATTAGGTTTTAAGAACTTTTATTCTATATTTTTCTCTCAGGTTTATAGGCTCCACCTACTACTTTTTAATGGATGTATGCTCTAATTTAATCATTTTAGGTTGGTACAAAGTCAACCCGCTTGATAAATTAAACCAAATGGGTCACCTCACTTATAAAGTAAGGCCATAAGATCCATCGCTAAGATTTTCTCTACCTTCAGCTTTTAGGTTAACTTATGAAACTTCCAAGGGATGCAATATTTAATTAGATCAATTACGGGTCTGTGCAATATCAAGAGGCCTCTCAAAATTAAACCAAACAAGTCATTTCACCTACAAGGTCATGAAACACACGGCCCATCATCTGGTTTTCCTCTACCTCGAGGCTGTAATCCTCTGTTTATGGGCCCTTTGATGAATGGAAGTACCATCCCATTCAATTTGGGTGGCTACGAAGGAAACCCATTGAATCTAAAGTTTGGTCTTCTAATAGCTATAAGCTCCATCCTAAATTAAACTTGTGCTAGCTCCATGTCAACAACTCCATCGAATTAAAATCAAACCGACCAATTAAACCTCATGTTGTCTAAGTCATGCTTATTCAAATTAAGTTGAAGCTCATCGGAAATTTATAGTCATGCCATAATTTTGTGCTCTAATAGGTCTTGTTTAGTTCCTGTAAATTGCAAGAAACCAAGCTTTGTTTCTCTAAACTATTCAATGAAACAATAATGACTATACTCTGTTAGTTAACAAGTCGATGCCAATCTTGAAGGCTTGTCCTCAATACGAAAAAAGATTAGGTGCGGAGTTCGCATGCATGCGGACTCTAGTACAACCGTATTGTACATGCTTGTATTCACGAGTTCAATCATGAATACAACCATGTACAACATGGCTGTACTGATATTTGTTCCTTCAATATAGATACATTTTCACCCCGATCTTCTAAGGATACTTGACGGGAGGCAAACCATAATTGCTAATCAAGCTCCCTTTACATTACGAGTTACAACCCATTTTTTTTATAGATTGGATCCACTAGTGTCCTTAGGTGACTTACAGCCCATTTTTTTTTTTATAGATTGGATCCACTAGTGTCCTTAGGATGACGAAGCTATAGCATTTTGATCAGGACAGTCTCCATCCATCCAATTTGATTAAACTCAGATCTAACTACCAAATTTAAACCTAAAATGTGAGTTTGATTAATCTTCTTAATTGAGAATCCTCATGCATGAGCAAAAGGGTTAAATAATTATGAAGGTTTGTGGCTATAGGAAATCTTTACCCCAAGATCTTAATAAACACCGACATAACATTAGCGAAAATCCAATTAAAACAAAGCCGATGCACTTCAAGGAAAATCACACACTTCAATGAAAATCACTCCTAAACTCTCTCATTTACACATCGAGGAGGCTCTAAAAGTTGGTATTGCTTTTCCGAGCGGTCAAGCTATAATTAACCTTTTTGAAGGGATCCACATAATTCACCCTTTTATTATCATGATTTAACCTATCTTTTATTTTATGGGATGCAACACCATATTGTTGACCACACTTTATGATGCCTTTTGCACTCTCGGTTAATACTTGTTGGTACTGGGAATTCATTTACACCTGGATTCATTTTCTAAAACCTTCTTTAATTCTACAATGCCTCCTTCAATTTGATTATTTAACTGATGCACAAATACTCAGTCATCTTCGTCTATTTTTTTCCTACCTTGAATATCTGTTTTTCTCCTTTTTGGTCCAGGAGAGTGTTAGATTATCTCGCTCCAGTTTTACATGCAAGGTCTGGTGGAGACTAATATTACATCATAACTCGTTTGGAAACCAGCACATTCACGTTTCATTTTTTTTTCATATCCATGGACTTTATTTTTGGATATTGTGTTTAAATTACTATGAATTCTTATTTCATTCCTTATGCTTAAAATTAATAACAAAAAATATATATTTGCTTATTTATGTGAGAATTAAGATACTTTCAAAAACATTCAGGTGAAGTTTTCTCTGAAGCTTATGAGCTTGAATATGGCAAGGATTGCTTGGAGATGCATGTTGGAGCTGTTCAGCCAAGAGAACGTGTATTGATATTTGATGATTTGATTGCCACAGGGGGAACACTATGCGCTGCAATGAAACTTATAGGTCTCTTTCCTTGAGTTTCTTGGTTGATTTTACAAAATGCAGCTATCAAATTTGACTTATAATCTATCTTACAGCAGTGAAAATGGTTTACAGTATCTTTGAATTATTATCGAAGCATTTCTTCTGCATTTATGAAATTGGATCTCTGCCTATTATCTTAAAATTTGTACCTTGTTAATGTTCATAGAATTGTATTTTTGGTATCATATTTCAAGCTAATTCATGTTTAAGTTTCAATTTTTTTTTTCCATCTATAATTGTTGGCTTGGTTGTTTGATCCAAGTTTCAATTTTTTTTTTCTCAGATATAGGAGTGTTCTTATATGATGCAATTTTCCATCTATAATTGTTGGCTTGGTTGTTTGATCTGCTCATAATATGTTTTTATTTTCAGAAAAAGCTGGAGGTGAAGTTGTTGAGTTTGCTTGTCTTATTGGTTCACCCAAATTTAAGGTATAGCAATCTTGAATGAATGGCTTCTGAATTTTTTTTTTTTTTTTCAAGATTTGCACACATACCATTCTGTTCCTATTTATTTACATATCTAACACCTAAATTTAAACTTTTACATATGCCACTTTAAATATATGTATATGCCACCTTTTGTATTAAAAGTCGTTTTTCACTTTTTAAATATTGAGTGTTATTTTTTATGTGATATGAAAGATTTGGGTGTAATAAATATATAACTATATAAAACTTAAAAATTTTGGTGTTAGATATGTAAATAGGTAGGAATGGGTGTTATTTATGTTATTTGTCCTATTTTTTTTTATTTGGCTAAGTAGCGTGTTGTCACCTCCCAAAAGAGGTGGGCAGCCCAGGACTTAAATACTGTTTTTCGGCCCTACACCTAGCAAATGTGAGACTATTTGTCTGTGACATTCTCTTCGACCCAATCACGTGACGCCCTCATCACGGATCGGCTCTGGTCCCACTGGATCATGGAGAGTTCACACACCTGACAGGCAGTAATCTGCTCTGATACCACTTGTCACCTCTCAAAAGAGCCCTTAGGGGTGGTGGGTAGCCCAGGATTTAAATACTGCTTTTCGGCCCTACACCTAGTCGATGTGGGACTATTTGTCCGTGACAGTGTGTTTTTAATGTCCAGTAATAATCTATCATTCTATTTGGGAAATAGCATAATGAATCTAGTTTTCAGTATTCATTTCTTTAATGGCCTGTAGTATAATGTGCACCATAGTTATGTTTTTGTAAAATTTTTACTTAAAAAATGGTTTCAATCTCTGTGCAATAATTTTTTTAGGACCAAGTTCGTAACGCATCTTATATGTTTGATTACTTGGCTTTCTTCTTTGCCTCTTATAAGTTTGAAGTTCAGTTCAGAGGATAGCAATTGGTCTTGAAGATCTAAATGATATGCCGATAAGGTTGAAGGAGTTGCAGGATATATTGGCATATTTTGGTATTTTAAGACACTCTTAGTCCACAATATATACTCGTACATATGCATATATATGTATGAATGTATATATATATATATATATGTATGATGTATGTATATTGTCATAGTGTGTGCTCACCATATTTATTGTAGGTGTTATGTGATGTGTGAACATTTATGTGTGCATTTGAGTAGTTGAATTTTCTAGTTGTGCTTTCATCAAAGCTGCTTCTCTTTCAAACTTGGAACAAAGTGTTGATTTCTAATACAAGTTTTCGCTTTTTGGCGTGCATGAGAAGTATTGTATTCTAATTCTGCTTTCTAATATTGCTTTCATTTAGCCTATTCTCTTTCAAGCTTAGAACAAAGTTCTAAATTCTCATGCAAACTTTAACTTCCATTTAAAAAATTGCTTTTTTTTTTTAGATAATTCAGAGAATCTTTAGAAGATCTATCTTTTTTCTTCAAACTTTAATATTCTTTTCAATTAGCAAAACTTTCATGCAAGTCTTCAAATACAATTTCTAGCTTTCATAAGAATGGTTTAGATCGGATAACTTATCTTGGAGAGATAATCCACAACATCATCTAAAGCCATGAGGAAAATATTAGCCTTCTCTTATTCACTTGATGAGAATAAACTCTCATCTTGGTCCATCCAAGTTTACTTTATAAATGCATTTTTTTCTCTTTATTCGCACTTTCACAAAGAGGATATGCTTATGTGATGTGTTCTAGCCTTTTGAAGTCTAAGAGTATCATCTAAAATTTAAGCCTTCCCTTTTAAGGGTTGGAAGACTTTTGAAATCTTCTGTCTTTTCATCTTTATCCTACCTCTCCCTTTAAACAAAACCATTGAATATTTTTTATACTAAGACAACCTCTTCGTAATTATCCTTCTATACACTTGAGATGCTCAAGGCTAACTCACTCAGCTAGGACAAGCTCAAGTCTGACTCGTCATTCGGGTTTGAGAAAAATTCATCAAGTCGAGCTAGATGCCTGAATTGTTATCCAAAGTTCTAAGCCTATTTATCCACCAGGATCAAGGTGAACTTCTGATTGATTCAGGGAAGACTTGTTCTCTTGGCTCATGAAAGACTAGCAAGATTCAAAGTAAACTTGTTGGACCATCCAAGCTCAATTCCCCAATCTAAGAGTGACTCAGAGGCTTCCTCCAAAGGAATCGGCGACTTCCTCTTTATCATCCAATCAAGCATAAGACCAATTTCTCAGGCTATATGCCTTTTTAATTTTACAAGTTATCAAATGTTCTCGTTTTGTACATTTTATTTGTGTAATCTATCATATAGTTTTTTTTTTTTTTTTGATAGCAATCACAAGGAGAGCCAGGATACACAATCTTACACAGTATATGCACTTCAGTATAGATTTATTATACCATTGAGCTTATAGTGAATTTTCTTCCTACTTTCCTTTTACTCTCTTTTGTATTCCTCTTTGCTTTTCTTTCTCTTTTTCTGTGTTAAAGAAGGGTTTTGACGCAACCCATAGACGGACAAATCAAAATCCAACACTTCTTCGTTTTTGTTAGAGTTTGCGCTTTAAGAGAAATGGTCCTTTAGGTGATTCCTTTTAGTCCCAACTCTTCTTTTATGCCTCTACCAAAATCCAACACCTTTCCTTTGCTTTTGTTAGAGTTTGCGCTTTAGGTGAAATGGCCCTTTAGGTGATGCCTTTTTGTCTCGACTGTCCTTTTATGCCTCTATCTTTATACTCTACAGTTTTTGCTTGTGAATAGTTAATACAAAATCCAAAAAGTAGATAAATACCCAACCTGGGAAATGGTGAAATGGTGGTGAACAAATGTTTTAAAAGGTGTGGCCGTTGGGCAGGGCATTTAGCTGCTATGGGGCTAGGCGTAAGCCCGAAGGTGTCAGGCTTATGCCCCCCAGTATAAAAAAAAAGGGATATAAATATTAAGAGAAAAATATAAACTATGTGTGCATAATAAAAAAAATTATTCTTATGTATTAAAATAACCCATACTTGTTCAATTTAAAAATAAGTCTTCTAGGATTGAATCTTGAAGATATTAACAAAAATCCATCACAAAAAGTAGAAACATATAAAAATAAGTAAACATGTTTGAGATAAAAAATAAATTTATGATCAATTGATCTCAATCATTGAAGGTTATTCATTAATTAAATTCATTCTCAAAATCATCTTCTTCTTCACCAATAGAAAAATTAGATCTTCTGCCTGCCTGCTAGAGAGGAAGTCGACTGGTGGATCGTCTGCGTGCGGGGCGAAAACGAAGCAGATGAGTCTGCATGCGGGACGAATTGCCTGTTGTGGTATTATCTGTGTGCGAGAGACAAAGCAAGATGACAGCGGTATCTTCTGCGACTCTGCTTGCGATGGAGGAAGCAGAAGGTTGCGGGAGATCGACTGCTTTGTCTACTTTTAAAATACTCTTTAAATTTCAAGCTAAAGAGTTTGTATCCATGAACTAGCTTGTTAATTTGGGACCAAATGCATTGACTACCTTGTAGGTAATGATTTGTTTTTCCCAACTATACTTGCCAGTCTTTAGCATTGAACCTTAGAGTTCATTGCTTTCTCAAAAGCGAACAAGAAGTCAACTAGCTGTGGAAAAAGCACGTGTGCAACCTCACTTGCACGCACCTGTGATGAAGAGTTCGTTTCTTTCTCAATGCAACATAAGAATGCTTCTGGATTCAACTGCACAAATCTTTTTTTTTTTTTCTTTGGGAAAATTTATGTACATACCACCTGATTCTTATATATTTACATATGTCACACCAAACTTTGCATTTTACATTTATACCGCCCAAACTTTTATATCACATCAAAAATGCCACAAGTTTAACTTTTAAAAAGTTAGATATCTTTTATGCATGGATAAGGTGACATATATGTAAAAATTGAAGTTTAGGTGTTCGATACGTACAAACTTAAGACTTGAGTGGCATCCATGTAAATCTTCTTTTTTTTTCTTTTGATCTAAGTGTCCTTTTAGCTTAACTCAATCAATTACAAACTAAAATAGAGCTTTCTGTTTTTAGTGTTTGTATATATATAGATCTATGGATATTATCAAAATCAAATATAAGTTCAAGTTCATTATAAATTATAAATCACATATGTAACTACTTTCAGATCACCTTCCTACATATTAATCTCTTTTGCAGGGCCGGTACCGGCTTAATGGGAAGCCTGTGTATGTACTTGTGGAGTGCCGTCGATAGAGCTTCAGAATCATGTTTACTGTAAGTTTTTTTTTTTTTAATTTTTTTATTTTTAAAAGATACTGAACTAACATGTTACTCTTAATTGTTATATCATGAAACTTGAATTTGGAATGTCATTTTGAAAATGCACATAATAATAGTAATAGAGCATAAAAGATACACAATCTATGTTTCCTGTTTTAGTTTTTTCTTTCATAAATTTTGGCATAAAAGAAATAGTTTGTAAGCAAAATATACTGAATAATCTGAGGATTTAGAAGAAAGAAAAAAAAAAGGTAGATTAAAAGGAAATTATGAAGAGCAGGTGGGCAAAATGATTTGATCAACTCACATGCTTGCAAGATATTTCCATATAAATCTTGTCACTAATACCAGTACATTTTCTTTGTTTACATGTATCACCATCAATTATGAAATTGTAATGTGAGTTTGTATCCTCCAAGAACATTTGAATAGATCTGAATTTCTAAATTGATGCTACCATGATTTTGAAAGTACCTATTCTACTGACACTTGTTTTATTTATAAGTATCAACAAACCTTATTGTTATTATGTTATCTAAACCAAAATGTTAATTGTTTTCCATTTGCCGAGTTGCAGGTAAGTCCATGTAAACAATTTTATCTGATAAGTTTTTCTAGCCAGGAGAGTGTAGCATTGCATGCTTTGACCAAAAGCATTGCTGAGTTGATGCGAGGAGCTTGTAGCAAGTAGCAATGTTTAGTTTTCTATTTTGGGCAAATTATCCTGCCGTTATACTGCCTTGTCCTTTTTCTCCCTTGTAAAATAAGTTTAAAATTGCATTATGGGTTCTGGATTCCACTTTTTTTACATATGAAATAAATATGATTATTTCCCAGTTGCTCTGAATCAGAGAAATTTTCTTTTTCATTTGGGAGAGATTTGAGTATCATGATCATATGTGATCAAGTCAAAAATCTCTCTTTTTGCATCTTTGGATGTCTTTGGCTCCATATTGAGGAGATCTCCATGCATTTTTAATATATGCCATCGAAGTTATAAATTTCATCCTACAGATCATATCTTTAATACGTTTCAGTCTTTGTAGCCTAGGTAACCCATGACATTATAAGTTTAATTTAGGATTTTCTGTCATATGACTCTCGAGTGTAAGGGTCTGTTTGAGGCAGCTGCAGCTTATTGAATAATCTTTTGATAAACTGATTAAAAATAATCTGCTGATAAGTTAGGTACGGTAGCTATTACAATTTTTTTATTTTTTTTGGAAAAACCAGACCGCTGCCAAAAATCTGTCACCGCACCTAGACAGGTTCGGTGTGAAAACGTTGTTTTCAGCGTTTTGAAAACGCATAAGCTGCCAAAACACACTTTACCCAAACAACTCAGGTGCATTTTCAAAACGCCACTATGTCAGTTCAAAATTTGAAAATATAATATATCTATATTATTTTAGCTGGCATAGTTCTTTCAGAATCTGCTATTATGGCTCTGCAGAATATAGCCGAAGCTTTTATGATTATACGACTTAAGAGGATTTTTTTTTAAAAAAATTGTTATGTTTTTGGGGCGCTATGATTTCAGGAATAAAAAGACTGCATCACGTAGATCTTGGAAGTTCAAAAAAATTAGATTCCATGAATGTCTTCTAGTCTTTTGTTGACTAATCTAAGATGCTCTGCAATAAATGATATACTAACATGAGAAATAGAGAGAGAGACATTCACTATTAAAGTATTAATCCTTTGTCTGTTAATTGTAGAACCTACGAAAGGTCAAACTTATCTAAGCTTGAGATTTTGTTTGAGAAGCTTGCACATTTTAAAATAATGTACTTTTTTTTTCAAAATTTTCTTACAAATTCACATATCTAACCCCTAAACCTCAATTATATAACCTCAATTATTTTCATACGGAGTCCGGATGCAGCTACATCTGGCCCACCTAAAAAAATATTAAAGTTAAACTGGGGAAGTTATTTGGGTGGAATCGTGGAGGTTATTTGAGTAGAACCGGGGATGTTATTGGGGATGTTATTGGAGAGTTATTGGGGGTTATTCGGGCATTAACTCTAATAATACCGCAATAACCTCTCAACAACCTCTGCGGTTCCAGTTCAATAATCCCCTGCAATAACCTCCAACAATCTTTGCATTTTCACTTCAATGACCCGCTGCATTAACCCTCTCCTAATAGTAATAATCTCCTAATAACCATTCATGAACCCTCTAATAACCGCCGCAGTTTCGCTTCAGCCGCGGTTTCGCTTCAATAACCACCAATAACCTTCACGATATAACACACGTGGCAGCATATTACTGGAGTCCGCACGCAGAGCAACGTCCGGACTCTGTATGGAAAATTTTCTCCCTAACCTTAGCATGAAAATGTGTATTTCACTTTTTAAAATTTAAAATAGTGATATTTTTTATATGATGTGAAAGATTTAAGCGGTATAAATATAAAAAATATGCATGTGATAGATATGTGAATACATAGGAATTGCAAGGTATGTATGTAAATGCTGCAACATTTAACAGGATAGCAAGACATGAAAGAGAATGATAGTTGAAGGCATGTTATTTTTGGGACTGCTGTACACCTAAGCCTTCTTAGAATATGGATGAATAATATGAAGACCAAGTTTGCATCATCCTAAACCATTTCCTCTACAACACATTAAAAATTTTTAATTTATTAGTCTTATGTTTAGTAGCATATAAACTTCGAACATGCAATGAGCATTTGAAACCTTTCAAGCTATTAGGATGCACAGTGTTTTTAAAAAGTTAAAATGACGGTATTTTTGATGTGACATGAAAGATCAGGGTGGAATGAATGTAAAAATTAAAGTTCTGATGTTAGATATGTAAAAACATAGGAATTGGGCGGTATGTATGTAAATGCTCCTTAATATTTGGCTTGAAGTGGTCCCATAGCCAGACATAATTGACATTCAGATTTTAAAGCATTGGACAATAGGAAGAGCACATGCTTCAATCATTATATTCCCCACTAATATAAGAGTTTTAGTCTTCCCAACAATAATTTAACCATAGATTGAATGTAGAATGTGAAGGACAAAGTGCTGGATGAACCAATGCACATCTTTAGAAGTCCAATTTCTTCAAAACCTTGTAGGTGGGCTTTGTCAGATGTAAAGAATAATGGGAAATCTCTATGTTATTTCATTTAGATTGTGTTCTTGTAAGGAAAAAAGGGCACTCCTTGAACATATTTAGTAGTGCATCTAACTCTAAAATGTTGCAGATGAGAAATTATTGTTTTGTTATGATAATCATAACGATAATATGATGAATCATGTATATATTTAATATGTTTCTTCCATATTCTCGGGTGCTTCCGACACTACCTTTTCTTTATTCAAACTTCCCAAACTTCCCTTAATAGTAAATTCCAAGCTAAATGATGCTAACGAAAATCACAGTTGCTTACTGCAATAAACTATTAAAAAAACTAAATGGTACGATGCACGAATGACTTGCCCGAAATTCAATTAAGAGAAAAAAAATACTTTAATGGTTGACCAATAAACATTAGGAAAATTAATCGATAGAAAATGTATGATTATTATAAAACTGAACAAACAACTTTTTATGGGGTGATTGGTGGTGTCATATTAATAAGATTTAGGGTTTGTTTGGATTGCTAAATATGAAATGCAATATAAAAGGTTTACAGAGTGTTATGATTATAATGTATTTGAAATATTTTTGACTTTTTGATTCACTATAAAATAAACGAGGACTTTATATTTTTATGTTTAGTTGAAAGTAAATTAGAAACATTGTATTTGCTTGGACAACGAGCAACATGCGGCAGCCGACAACATGTGGTGCTGGAGGACGGTGGGAAGTCATCTGAGCTCGGGCAGAGGGATTTCAGAAGCTTTTGGGCAGTGGGGAATGCTTTCTCCATTTTTGAAGTGCTTGACCATGGAGGCTCCAAAGGGGAAGAAGATGGCATGGCCATGACATGAGGGGATTGGGGGAGCTTTTGGTGTGGTGGCTAATATCAGAGTTGGTTTGGTTTGACTCACCCTACACTTGAGTCTGACTCCCCAAAGTTTGAACATGTGTGAGTTGGATTTGGTTGCCAAGATGGATGGTTTTTCCTTTCGTGTATCTTTTGTCTGGGATACTGCTGAGGTTGTATACTTAAGTGTCTCTTACCCTTTCTTTCTTTAGCTTTCATTAATAAATTGTTCAAATATTTGAGCTCTTCACATTTAGAAATCCAATGTCCAATGGTGAAAACCTAAACTTAAAAATTTCTTGAGGACAAAAGCGCTTCCTTAATTAAGAGTTTTCTTAAGTATCTCTAGTTGCTTAAGATATAATTAACTATATGAGCTTGTCTCTATAGGAAGGAAAATACCCTGGAACTAATCTAAACCCTATTTAATATTTTGATTATATAGGGAAATGATCTGTCGAGTTTAAACTGCAGACTAGCATAGATATCCAATGTTTTCTTTGTTCGAATAATCAAACCCGTCATAAAAGTTGTATCCTACCTTTCAAGGTGGTTTACTATTTTCGACGATGAGCTCGATTATTCGAACAATCAAATCCTCGAATCTACATGGCATTCAAAAGCCCCGTGTCGATCCGAAAAAAAAAAAAAAACCCAAAACCCATGAGACCCATTTAGTATTTGGAATTTTCAATTGCTTAAAGAAACTCATTTTTGGATATACACCTAGCAATAGTTTCTTCTTTGGCAACAAGACTCCTCTCTCCTAAAATATTAATCATCTTGAAAAATTTTGAAGAGTTTAAAGGGAGGAAGAGGATAAAAGGATTATGCAATTTTTAAATGGAAGTATCTTGACCATTTTAGTAGTGTTCTACATATTGACATGTGACAAAAAGATAAATCTTTGTCACAATTAGGCACTGAAATAATTTACAAGAACACATTAAACATTACTTATAATTATCTTCTTAACGAAATCATTTTGAAAGGATTAATGCAAGCAATAAACTCCACAAAGCAAAATGAAATTCTTTCAAAAGAATGAAGCAAAAGTGAAAATAAATTACATGAACACCTCGCACATTGCCTGCCGCTAACGTGCAAGGCGACGTGGCCGCCCATGGTTGGCCGTCTAGACGTGCGGTGTTCTGACAGAATTTTTTTCTTCCAAAAAAGCCACTGGGATTAGATGAGCCAAGAAATGCTTTCTTTAGTGCTAATGATGGTAATTAAGACAGATCTTTCGATTACGGCGTGGAGATCCTGCAATTATCTATCTTAATTGTGCTTATTTTGTCATCATTAATTATGCCCTCTGACTACGCATGCAACTAATTGTGTATGTTAAGGCTTCTGTTTTAATTCTCATCTATGTTTTTAAAATTTTTTGAAAAATATTTATTGATTATTTTTATTATTTTTAATAGGAAAATTTACATAATTAGCACAAAATTATTTATGTATTTACATATCTCACACCTAAACTTTCGTATTTGCATGCATAACACTTTCTACAGAAGCTGTATAGCCATTGGTTGCAGACTTTATGACATTTCCTTGAAATTTTCAGATTATGTGACATTTTAGGTATTTTAGGGAGCTTCTAAGTGTTGATAGAAATTATTAAAGCATACCAAGAGCACAATTTTAACATTACTATAAACTATATCAATTTTGTATTAAATATAAACTCTTCTGCATTAATATGGCATGATATGATTGGCTAATATCTATCAACATATTGTTTAATCTCTCTCTCTCTCTCTCTCTCTCTCTCTCTCTGTGCGCGCGCGTGCAAGGACATAATTATGTGTTATTTTTGCTCGAAGGTATAAGGGCTTGAATAGATATTTGACTAAGGGTA